GACGCAAATAATTTTTTGTGGTATAAAATAATTTATTGTTTGATTAAGTGCTGATATCACGATGGAAATAGTTTTTAAGACGTGTCTTGGCAAAAATTCATTATTGTGAAGATGATTGGCAGATGGGTAAAAAATATGACAGCCATTGAGTTACATAAGGTGCTTATGGAAAACAAGACATCGAATGACATGTGTGGATTCTTTTGTATTAGGAAAAACGATGGAGGTTTTCTGATGATATGATAAATTATTATTTACGAAGCTTGTAAATAATTTTTCATTATAGATAATATGTTATTAAGCTGATATATAATTATTTATATATGGAATATTACTTTTACTCTTCCAATCGAAAAACAATGACAATCAAAATTACAAGGCAATCAAAAGCAGTGGTTTACTGATAATAGACATTAGTGAACGTATAATAGAAATCATAGATTTGTTACACAAACCGATAAATTTATATTATATTATATATATATAATATATCATGTGTATCATATTTCCATTAAACAGTTAATATATCATAACACCTGACTCCAATATCTAAAATCCACATAATACGTCCTGTGATTCACGTACATTTTTATCTTGAGTGGATCTTTCAAACCTTGACAAAAGTATTACTTTAATATTATTATCAAATTAAAAATAATTGTTTGTTAGTTATTTCTGAGAAATGATAATTTATCTTTATTTTCGTAATATATTTTAGCCCAAAAGTTGTACGAGATTATTTGGAACAAAACGTGAGATAACAGAATTAATTTAGGCTTATAAAATTTTACTTTGGATATTGCACATGGAAAGTTACAGATTTGTTGTGAACTGGTCATTATTTTATTATCCGTAAAATTTTGGTTAAATAAATATTAAAATGATATTTATTTAATTTTAGCTATTGAAAAAAACATTATTATAGTTCATAGTTTAGATAAACAATGGGCACTCTAGAATTGAAAATTGTTAAGAGACAAGCAATTCAAATTTTGTTAAGATAATTAAAAATATTATTAAATTTTATTTGTATAATTTATAACAAAAAAGCCGGAAAGTATCGGTTGTATATAAATCAGAAATAAATCGCTCATAAATGTACTATTAATAATTATATTATTGTATTTGCAATAAAATCATTTGATTGCTATGATGTTACACGTTTATTTCTTGCAAAATTCGCAAAGATGTGCTATTTATATAACTGATTTCATAATAAAGCTAAAATAGTTATGTTATAACGAATGTTTACTTGAAACATACGAATAGATTTTATTTGTATTTGCAAAGATTTTGCTATTTATTTTTGATCGGGGATATAAAGTAAAAAAAGATAGAGATGGGTTATAAAAATTTAAGATTAAATATTTTTTTAAGTCGAAGATTTACTAATTTAGCCATGATTAAGAACTTATTTATAATATTAATACGAAATTTATGCTATTTTAGTAAGAAAGATATAAAAATTCTGATGAACATAAATTTTGATTCATTTCTATAAGCTGTTATTCTCCAATTTGTTATTGATTGGCTCAAATTTGGGACTGAAAATCAGAATAAAAGTTTTAAATCATATTTTTTCATAAACGACTATTTTTACTAAATTTTTGGGTCTGAATTTGTAAAAAAAAACTCTTAGGTGATAAAATTATAATTCGATATAAATATGCCATATAAATTAAATTAGCTCTAACAGGCAATAAGAAATAATTCAGACAATGAGAATTATATAGTATAGAATTATGTATTATTATTAGTTGTTAGAATATATAATAAAAATGCAATTGGTTCATAAAATAACAAATCAATAAAGCTAAAATAGTTATGTTATAACGAATGTTTACTTGAAACATACGAATAGATTTTATTTGAGTTTGCAAAGATATTGCTATTTATTTTTGATCGGGGATATAAAGTAAAAAAAAGATAGAGATGGGTTATAAAAATTCAAGTTTAAATATATTTTTAAGATTCACTAATTCAGCTATGATTAAGAACTTATTTGTAATATAAACGCAAAGTTCATGATAATTTAGTAAGAAATATATAAAAATGCTGATATAAATTTCAATTTATTTCTATAAACTATTATTATCCAATTTGTTATTGATTGGAGCAAATTCGGATCTGAAAATCTGAATACCAATTTTAAATCACATTTTTTCATAGACGACTATTTTTTACTAAATATTTAGGTCTGAATTTGTAATAAAAAACCCTTAGATGATAAATATATAAATCAGTATAATATAATATAATATCTCTTGAAAATTAGATTAGCTATAAACAAAAGCTCTAGACAATGAGAATTGTCGAGTAAAATTATGTATTATTATTAGTTGTTAGAATATATAATAAAAATGCATCTACTTCATAAAATTAATAGAACGAATTCTTAAAATTTGTCTTCTTAAATGACTTGTTTGATAAATATGTTTATTTTATTAATCAAGTGCTCTATATTATTGTTTACAAAATTATTTGAAGTGACAAGGATTGCCATTTATTTTTGATCAGGGGATAAAGTAGAAAAAAATGTAGAAATAAGTTATAAAAAATTAAGTATGAATATTTACTAATTCTGCTACGAAATTTTTAACTTATTTGTAATATGAATGCAAAGTTTATGCTTTTTATTAAGAATGATATAAAAATTCTTTTAAAAATATATTTGAATATTATGCATATGCAAATTCGCAGGTATGTAATATACATATATACATATATATATATATATATATATATATATATATATATAAATAATGGGTAGTGCTGCCCTAAGGCAGGTCCGTGAGCTGAGTTAAACTCCAACTCGATTCAGGGAAGAAGTAGTGTGAGAGTTTTTCCCATTTCGATTTCACACCGCAGTGCCCGAGATGGGCTTATTTTCAATTGGAAACATATTATGATCTATATCCTCAATTGAAAATGGACATCGCGATATATATATATATATATATATATATATATATATATGTGTGTGTGTGTGTGTGTGTGTGTGTGTGTGATTTTTAGTTAATTCTTTCATTGGTGGTGAAATGAAAAAATAAACCAAAGAATTTATAACAAACTTTCGGAAAAATTTTCAGGAGATACAGCCATAAAATTCAATGGTATTATAGTGCATTTCATTCAATTAATAGAAGTCATTTATAAAAGTGTAACTATATAGAATGTTTAAATTGCTACAGACGCTATATAATTAAATTAAATTAAATGAAGGCTCACCTTTAGCCCAGCCAGTAACGACATTTCCCAAATAAGCCACCTTGAACTCGGGGTCAGGCGTGCTAATATCCAGACTGCTGCAGTGTTTCCTGACCAGGCGCCTAAGACCGCGTGTGACGGCGTTTACCGCCCTTCGGCCTGGACCAGCGCTCGCCTGCATGTGAGCATTGGTACCAATAATCTCTGAACGAGTCATGAGGTCACTTGGCAATTTCACTTCTGTGTTTTCAATTGCACCAGTTTCACTATTCACATTTGAGTTATTTGTATTACCACAATCTAAACGCTCGAACGATTTAAATAATTCTGTCACTTTACGATCGCAACGACAACTTAATAATAACGCGTCTACGGACTTGGAACGCAATATCTGCGGACGCTTGAACTGAAAGCGACGCACTGTTTTGTTATTATTGTTGGTAATGCACTGTACTTGTTTTATGGTGGACTGAGAATCCGTCTTGCCACCACTACCGAAACTTGTCTCAGTGTTGTCCGCTGAAAGCGAACGCTTCTTCGGTTCATCAGAGGTATTTTCGGGTTCATCTGACTTTTTGGATTCCTCATTGTTCTCGTCACACTCCAGCAAGTTCATCAAATCTATCCGAGGCGCCTTGGCCTCGAAGATTTTACCACATGAGTCTACCTCATCAACTGCCTTGTGTTCCATGCTGTCACGCAGCTGCTTGTTCGTTTCTTGTTCACCCATCTCAGAGCGCGTAAAGAATGAGACTACGATGGCATGACCTGTTCTAAAAGATATTCACCACTCTAAACAAAAATTGCAAATGTTGATCTAATCAATACACAAGTTGTCGCGAATTAACCGAGGCGCTAAATGCCGCACTCGGCGAAGATGTTCCGTCGCCAGGATCTCGATGAAAACTGTTCGGATCGTTCGGACGGATCGCGTAAATAAACACTTGTGATCGCCGATCCCCGCGCGCCCGCGCCAACGCCGTGCGATAAAACTTATGAATGGATCATGAGACAAGGAGACGCGACTCTGGACGAAGTGCCTCTGCCTGGTTGCTGGCTGCTTACCTGTTATCGCCCGATGATTGTATCAATTGTAGAGATTGTTCGAATTAATATTGAATCACCGTATATGTCGCATGGTATTCCACTCTCTTTGTTACTTTGATCAGGCACAATGAAAACCAACGGAAATGTACTGCGCTTTGAGGTGGGTTCTCTATTTCCGCTACGATTCTTGTTTGACGTCGGTTACAGGCATCACATTCTGTGGACAGAAAAAACAAATATATAACATCTGACATAAATGAAAGACAAATTTATTCTAAACATTTTTCCTTAAAGCAAATTGCATTAAGGGGCACAACTAGTGTAACCGCCTAAAAAAATGTGATTTTTGGGAATTTATATTAAAAAAAACTACTTTATCAATCATTTCTTTGAAAATTTTAGAAATATATTTATACATGCTTTAAGAATACATAGTAAAATTTTTGAAGAAAAAAATTAAATATTTTTTAAGTTATCGTCGATCTCCAACGGCGCGACAAAAAAAGGCCCTTAACTGCTGCAGTGATTCCGGCCTTCTACGTGGATGAAATAAAAAAAATAAAAAAAACAATTCTCGTTAAACTAGATAATATTGTCTGTAAAATGAACTACGATAAAAAAATAAATCGAATATTGATAAAATGGCGACGTTTTAAAAAAAGGTCGAATTTTACCCAAAATTTAGGTCGTATTTCGACTGCCAAATTTCGATTTTTGATCCGATCAAAAAATCGATAGTTCATTTTACGGAGAACTATATACAGAACATGTAAAAAAAATTTGATAGTGATCGGATCATTCGTTTTTGAGTAATCACTGCAGCAAATTCGGAAAATGCTGTTTCAAGAAAAACGCGTTAAAGATAAAATGATCGTTGTACTATATACTATATGTATACTTTTTAAATAGCTGTAGCTCAATTCGATATCGATTTGAAATTTTAATATGTTATTTTTAAAGGTGTAATCATAGATAAACAAGTATAAATGGGTGTAATCTACCGAAGTATGAAAAAAAAAACAAAAATCGATTTTTTCAAAATTTCACACTAGATGTGCCCCTTAACTGCTTGATACGTATACTTAATCAATAAGAATTGAGTTTCAGCTTTTTAGATAAAATTCTCAAATCTTCCAATTGATGTCTTTGAAGCATACTCATAACATCAAAATTGTATAAATTAAATTATTTTGTTTGGCACAACATTTCATTTCGAAATCAATATTTCGGATTATGAAAATGTATTTAATTTATATGTGGATGTCACCTGTAATCAGTAGAACATATAGGCATATATTCTGATAGGCATATATAAAGGCATAGATTTTGATTAGAATCGCCCAAATGCGCCGCGAAATTCCAAACATTGGTGATTTTTTATATTTCAACCGCTAACCGTAAGTCCTATAATATTTTAGTATGTTTAGAATTTCAGCCTGTGAAATCTATCATCATAAATAATATAATATTTTAGTCTATTTTAGTATAAAGAAAAGAAAGGAGTTGAGTAGAATTAGAATCTGGAAAATAGATAAAAACTAAACAGTAAGACTGTAAACAGTAAGATGAAAAGAATGAACAAATTTCAGTTGAAATTTTAGTATGTTATTTTAGACAATAAAATCTTTTGTCATGAATAATGTAATATTTGATCTACAATACTTTAGTATGTTATTTCAGATTATCGAATCTATTGTCATGAATAATATAATATTTTAGTATATAATATTTTAGTATGTTATTTTATACTATGAAATCTATCGTTTAATCAATATCATCAAATAAATACAATATTTAACTACCAAGAAATGTCCCGGCCGATCTTTACTAAGAACTAGCAAACGCGATTTCCAACCAATAACTTTCGAACAGTTTTTGAATTTTTAAAATTGATTTAAGATTGTGAGCTAAAACATGGACAAAAATTCTTATAATTTCTGTTAATTGTAAAGAAACGGCTAGGCTGATCATTGCACATAACTGATAAACGCTAGATTTTTATCGATTTACATAGAATTGCTTTTAAATTTCTCAAATATGTTTTTGAGAAAACGTTGACGAAAGGCAAAAAATCGGCTGACATGCACGATTATACTTGTAATAAATCTGGTCTCATACGATTCAGAACGATTTGACGCGTCGAGAAAATTAGCTAATCCGAATTTTTGCGCGACAGTAAACCTTCCATATTTAACAAAATACGATTTTGACTATAATAAATTACTATAGGTACTTAAATATAGTACTGATACAATATTTCAATATAACATTAATAAAACAATGTCATCTTCATTATCATATTTAAGAAAACGAGTTATATTGGTTGCTACATAGAAAGAAAACGCAACCTGTTTTAGTCATTTTTTTAATCTAATTGAATCGCATATATTTACACATGAGACGACGCAAAGGCGTAAATATTATAACAATTAACAATAATAACAACGAAATGTTTTTATAACAATGCGTAATGTCCAAAATAAAAACAATGTATTGACATGAAGTGCATATGATTAACTCGATTAGTCGGCAAGGTCAATAATTGATAATATTAGAAGGAAATATATATATATATATATATATATATATATATATATATATATTTCAAAGTAACTAGCAGCCCATTCGTCGAAATAAAAAAGGTATAAAGTATAAAAACTTTTATTTATACGTTTCGACACAAGATGCGTGTCATCATTCAGCAACTACAACAATTTGAAAATTTTATTAACTAATATAAACACCAATATAGATTAATTATAACATAGAGAAACATTATACACACCACAGGACAAAAACACTCAAAAAAAAACTTTATTTTAAAAAATTAAACTGATAACATATTAGAAAAAAACATTTTTGTAGAAAAAATTATGAATAACTAAAAGATTTGAAAACTAATTTGACTAAAAGTTTTAAAATTTAACATTGTGAGGCAAGAAACACGCCCATACCGAGCAACATACTCGACTGTAATACATATATATTATATATATATATATATATATATATATATATATATACATATCTTATACTCGTATATAAAATCTCCTGTAATGGGGTATGAAAGGATAATCCTCCTAAACGATTATTCGGATTTTGATAAATCTTTCAGAAGTTTGTTAAGAAATTTTTTTAGGATTTTTTTAATTATAGAAATGTAGTAAGATTGTAGAAATAGCTAGAAAAAATTTCAAAAAAACTCTTATCATTGATTGACATTGAAAATATTTGAGGCGTTGTTTGACATTAAAATCAAATGAAAACTGTCATTTGCCAAACATTTCTATTCAATTATGAGCTAAGACAATATTAAAATATAATATATTCATGATTATGAATAAGAAAAATGTAATGTTGCCGTTACATTATTGTTGCCGAAAAGCAGCTGAGATGTGCCAAAAATTAAAATAATATAAGATAATAATTTTTAACTAATTGGTAAATTTAACTAATTGGTAGACATGGGTACAGGACAACGTGTCGGGTCATCTAGTATATATGTATATATATATATATATATATATATATATATATATAAAGCTATTGGCCTGCCTATGTTAATTTCTTGCAATCCACTAAAGTAAGTCAAAGTATCGTACGCTATGTGGTTTTCTCTATAAACAATTAATGCAAAAACTTGCAAAACGATGTGTTTGTAGTAATCAATGAATGCACTTGCGATTATACAATATGTTTTCACGCCCATGTATGCCAGTTATTGCGTTTGTCTATTGTTTATATGCCGATGTAGCATAATTAGAGAGATATCAATGCAAAACTAGTAAATCTGAGGCTCCTTCATGCGTTGAATGAATTAAAAAAGTGATTTATATCATCAGTTAAAACATGAGATATGCTATAAATTATTTTTATAAAGTAATAAAATGTATACTATTTTATAAAATTTTTAAAACGTACGGTAGAACAGAGAACAAAAATGTATTTTATTCATGTGTGAACGTCAACTGTAATCAATAGCTACCTACGAAATAAGGCAAAAATTCTGATCAGAATCGCTGAAGTGCAGGGTGCAATTCCAAACTTTGGAGATTTTTTATAATTCAATCGAAGGGCTTATTATTAATGTTAGTGATGCCAGCCCGTTGTTTTGGACAAAGGTCTAATTTGATTTTAAATAATTATATTGTGAAACCCAGACCAATTACACATATCAAACAAACCACTATCAGACTATGTTTAGTAAAACTCCTAGCTAATTCATCATTGTAGAAACTTGTTTTTTTGCTGAAATGTGGTTTATTGTAGATTGTGCTTGTTTTTCAAAAATTTGTCACCTGCTCCGTTCTACCCCATAGGCGGGGTAAAATGAAACAGATAGGAGACAAACAAATCCAATGCAGTATGTTAAATTTTAAGGAAATTTACGAAATAATAAGAAATAAGAGATATAACACTGTGTATAACCTTGATCTGATAATTTGTCAAAAATATTCATTAGCAGAGTTGGAATAACTATTTATTTAACTAGTCTCATGTGTTGTTGCTTTTTTTAACTTAATTTACTTTTTTATTTACTATTGTTTATTGACTATACTTTTGCCATGGAAAACTTTAAGGTGTTTTTTTTTACACCACATAGCTTGAGCTTCTATAGAGACTATATGCAATAAGTGTTGGATCAAACTTAAAATTAACAATATACTTGATAATATAATTAATTAAATTAACTTAAACTTAAACAAATATACCAATCGAAAAGTTCACTTTTAACTTGTTATTGACATTAAAATTTACATTTTATTATAGGAAGATATTAATTAAAAACTATAAAAATAAAATATAATGAATAAAATATGAAATGATATGGAATAAAAATGCGCAATTTAACATACTTTCGGTATTCATTCCGTTTAACACTCCATTAATTTTTATTCATTATATATCTATCAATTTTTAGCGATATTTCTAAGAGTCATGTACGCTATTAAATAGTTTCCAATAAAATAACTAAACCCATTTTATACATAAATAAATACGATATGACCGACATTTATAATAGTTGTGATTTATTAACAATTTGATACGCAAACTCTTAATTCCGAGTACCTTTTATATTTTTAATGTCTTTATTTTTAAAGAATTCTCTTCTATGTAATTATTCAGCGTAAATAATTTTGTTGAATTTAGATTAGCACAGTTTCTGGTGCTTTTGAGTCATCATAATAAACTGACATTGATGTCAAATGATGAAAA